CACATTTAAAAAAAAGGACGACACAGATGGTGGTTTTGCCTCTATCCTCAAGAACCACATATCTTTTCGGACACCTTGACCGAATTTGGCCCCCAATTGGATTTCGGGGGCATGGTTTCTCAACATGATCTATGCCAAGTGGGTTTCCTTTTGGTTTCCTGAAGGAACACTCAAGATTCCCCCAAACATGCCAAATAGATGTCCTTTTGGGTGTCCCTTCAATTCGAACTCAAGGGCTCTGCATCCCATGTGGCAAGGGCTCTGCTTGTTTACCCCGAGGTCACCGAGCTCCTGGCGGCCTACAAGGAGAAGCACCCCCGAGCTGCAGCCAATTCTCCGGATTCGGGCCTTACCGAGACAAGAAAAATGTGGGTTCAACGTCCTGGCTGTCTCAGTTGTCCAAATCCCACCTGAAATGACCTTTGGTTTTCTCATTTTGGTCAATGTCAAGGTTTGTGGGCAGCTTTGCAATGGCAACCATCATTTCTCAAGGTGCGGGGTCAACCTGTTCATATGGCAAGTGGTGGCACCGGCACTTTTTGAAAGCCATTGAAGTAGGTGGTTCGAAAGCCATTGCAATTGGTGGTTCTACCTAGTTGTGTGAGGCTTGAGGTTTATGATAAGGCTTACATGGATATGCGTCAAAATAGGGGCTCCCCCCCAACAAAATGTATGCGGCGTTCCGTTCGGTCCTGAAAACCAGCCTTCCCAAAGGGTACCCTCAAGAGAACTCAGAGACTCATATGGTCCCAAAGGAGCAGATACGAAAATCAGTGCCATTCGTGCTCAAAAGCCGTTAGAAAAAAAGTTCGGGAGTTAAGCAGTGATAGTTTACCTAAGATACGCCATCGTTTCTTCTTTCGTTCTTTCTTTTTTCCCCCGGCGCGAGTCAGTCGCGCGCAAAGTCGGTCGCAGGATCAGAGAGAAGAACTGGAGCAGCTGGAGAAGGAAGATATCCCCATGCGGGCCCAGAGCTCGGAGTCGCCAATGGCAAGCGCTTGCGCTTGGCCCGTTTGGCCTTTGGGCACGGGGGGGGTCTTTTTGGGATGGCACCGAATGGTTGTTTTGTGTTTTGTTTTTTTTGAGAGAAAGCCGCAGCTATTGGTTGGTTTGAAAGTTTTAGAGGCAAACCAAGAGAAATTCAACTTTTTTGGGTGTCCCTAAGTTTGGGACAACCCCCTATTAGCCAGTGGACAGAAAGAAAGGGGAAAGTATGGGTGTGAGGTTTATCTAGGGATCCTCAGGTGGACATCAGAATTGGGACAGTCCCAACTCTGGTTCATGGTTGTATACCAAGAAGACCCACCTGTATGTTTCAGCTCAGTTTAACGTGTTCACATTCTCCTCACTGACATCGCGCTGGCTTCCATTGGCCGGCCGGCGGACGGATCTATACCCATTGAACAACAACTCGGCGAATTGAGAAACCATCAGACGAATCGCTTACCTTTTTGAACTGTTCCTTGGTATACCTGGTTTCTTTCGCGTAGGGTTCCCTTTGCATGAACATTAGGTCATTAGGTTGTTTCTGTTTGTTCCCATGGCATTTCCCAGGTTGCACCGTTCAATGGCGAGCGCAGGGGGTTGCAACGCAAGGCCATTTCATAGGGAACTTGTTGAAGGGATTTAGTGAGCGATTTGTGTGTATTCACAACCTTAGTTCAAGATAACAAGCTTACGGGCATTGGTTTGACCATAATATGTCATATTTTGACCTCATGCGGTCTGGTTTCTGACTGTGGAACTCAGGAGATAAGTGTTGTGCGCACGTGTTCGCTGATGTGGATAGTTTCACAGGAGAATTCGTAGGGTCGCCCTTCCCCAGAAAGCTTCTTGTCAGTGCTCTCTCTGAAGGCTCCAAGAGCCTCTGGTGGAAGGGCCTTGGTGTTTTCTCACGAACACACACCACACGACACCACACCACACGCACATCACACGCACACCACACTCGCACGCGCCTTTGGAAAGGCCCAGCTCTGCAACCAGAGCATCTTCCAGTACGTCCGCGACATCCAGATGAAAGCAGAGGCGGGGAGATGCAAACGGTGGGGGACTTGGACGCACAGCGCCCAAAACCCAAAAGGGCCTTTTGGGAGGTGGTTCTTCCACTTGGTCTTGCGGTGTCTTGTAGTGGTTAGAGTCCGGTTAGAGTGAGGCCTAAACCTTTAGAGCCATCTCGGTAGAACCAAAGTCGACAGCTTTCTTACTTGGTTCCTTCCTATGCTGTTGAACATCATTATCAGTCCCTTCTTGGCTTCATTGAGATTATGCGGGCTTCCTCGTTGGTGTCAGCTTGAGCCTGTAGTCACTATAGTGGTTTTGCTTAAAATTACGTAGTCAAGCATATGCTCTCCGTGGGGTATGCCTAGTGCCAACCCGCAAAGGGCTTTGGAAACACGGCCGAAAAGCAACCGAGATTCCCGCCAAAACGTGAAGGTGAGCAAAACTCGTTGACGGGGTCACGTGCACCCAGCTCGAGTAACTCCTATTCCCTACGCAAGGGATCAGGGATCCCTCCCCAGAAGTCCAGGTGATTTCCAAACCTCGAACACGCGTTGCTTCCCAGACCAGTGCGTTGCTTCCTGGCCCTTTTCTCGAAGTCTTGCTGAGGGGGAACCTTTAAGGGGAACTACCAAAAGATCCAAAAGACATGTGTCCTATGGCCCCTCGGGGCTGGTGGTATTGAAAGGGAAGCCAAACGGGAACCCTGGCCATTTTTTGGGAATGATTCCCATTCTGAGAAACACACGTATAATTAGTGGTTACTTGTTTTGGGTCAAAGCCCTTGGCCTGTTTTTGGTCCAAATAAAGCAAGGGAGCCCTATCGACTCAAATTGTCCAAGTGGACCCAAAGCTCTGGCGTTTTAAATGTCAAGGTCGAACTACGCGCCCGAATCTGAAACTACTTTCTTGCAATTTTGCTTGGAGCTCAAACGGGGGTCCTCCTAAGGAGAATCAATTTCATCTAAGATATCTTTGTTGCATTTTGCTTCGATGTTAGGACTTTAACTTTGCCAACTCATGGATTTTTCATTAAACCACTAAAAGTTAAACTTTTAGCAGGGGAGCAGAAAGCAACCGAGAAATGTGGTTTGGTTGGTTCCGTGGCAATCTGTCGGGGAGTATCATGTCTTGTTGGAGACATGGTTGTGAAACACGGGCTTTTAGAGCCACACTGCAATCAAAGTAACTTAGTCATCGGAGTGGCCTACGTTTGTGTCTCGGATGAAGGGGCCATGATAATCTGATAGTGAGTGGTTCTATCCCGTTTAACACATATTATAGCAAGGATCTAAACCATTACCATCTTAGAACCCAAAGTCAACAAGTTTTGGGCGCTCACCTTCCTCCCTATGTAACATGACCTTCCATTGTCTGTTGAATATTCTATATTTTCCCTGTTTGGTTTCCAACAGCATCTACCACTACTGGACTTACTTTTGTTTAATAATTGCGCGAAGAAGTGAAATGGAAGTGACATGTTCCAAAAGCAAATGGAAGTGACATGTTTACCTACTCTCCCACCTGACATAGAAGTGCACAGACCCCTGAAAGACTACTTTCCTCTTGGAAAGGCCCGTTTTGTACTTCCATGTTAGTTGGTGGGAGGGTAAGCTTGCCCCCATGTCTTTTCAATACTCTATATTTCCCCTGTTTCGTTTCAAAGGTGGTCTATCACTACGCTGGACTTACTTTTGCTTTTTTCACCAGCTCTGCCACCAGCTCTCCCAGCACATCCTGGGGCTGGAAGTCGGCTCCTTGCCACGCAGATTCGCAGCGCCATGCGCCAGGCCGAGCGCATGCGCCCGCCCGAGCCGGTGGCTGGGGTCTGGGGGCCCCAGACGGGATGCAGCCAGAGTGCCTCGGGCGGGTTCGCTCAGAAAGTGGTACCCGCAAAAAAGGACGCACCCAATATACAGTATATATAATATATAGTATTATATATATATATATGTATATTTATTATTTATATATATATATATAGATACATTGTTTATACATATAGATATATATTATATATATATATATATACATATTAGTATGTACACATTTGTTGGCACACAAACACGCACACCCACACATCGTTTATCACATATATGTCGTGCTAGCATATCAACTTTGTCGTGCTTGACGTAGAGTGAAGCACCGGCCGCGACACGGGCTATGGTGATGTTTTGCAGTCCAAGGCTTCTTTATGAAAGATCAGCAGCGTCTAAACACAGACACTTATGAGGTTTACTTTATGTCAACCCTGTCCAAACTGTGCTCCCAAAATGCCTGGGACATCTACTTTGCAGCTGCACATGACAGCAGCAACACGCCATTCCTACAAGGCTGTGAAACTGATGCTCGTACCAACACAAAAAACTTGAATGACTGAGGACGTGACTGGCAAACTCATCTCTTGGCGTACACATGGCCAGGGAGGAAGAATGATGAGATCTGCGTTGCTTCCTGGGTTTCACCTCTTTTTCCCGGTGTTGGTCCTTTTTTGCTGATCTTTAGTACTCTTTTAATATTCTACAGGAGTGAATCCACAAAAGCCACCCCCAAACCGCTATCAACCGCGTCCAATTTCAAATATCTTTGCCACACGTAGCCATCGTCCCCTCATCCTACTGATACCCTCCACGCCCCAAGCACCTTGCGACGGGCTGCGCGCTCTTCGGTGTCTCTCCGCGGAACTTTTCAGCGAGCTCTACCAAACGGGTTCCGATCGCTTGCGCCAAAGTGGCTGTTGCACATTTCCGCGGAACTCTGCTGATGGAGCGGGGCGAGTGCCGTGTTCAGCGCCGTTTGAAGTCATGGTACAACGTGTGGAGGATCCGTTCGAAAGCCTTTTAAAAATACCTTTAGTGACACCCAATTGTTTAGTTTGTTTCAAAGCGAAACCCAACGGAAACCACCACATATTGTTCTGGGAAAAACTTCCTTTTGGTTCATGAACTCGGATGGGGGCCAAGCCAAAGGAAACGCGTTCCACATCCCATGTCATTCACAACCTTTTACACTGGTTTTGGCCAGTGTCTAAGCATTTACAGCCCTTGCCCTTCGGGCCATCGCCCATATTTGGTTTTTGTGCGGCGTCAGTTCAACTAAACTTCTACTCTGGCACGCCCTTTTCTATCGCAAACATAGGAGTATCCTTTGAGCCTGCCTTATTTAGGGAGGCAGACCGGGTCAGTTTTTCATCAACAAGCACGTCTTGGTTGGAAGCTGTTGATGCAAGGTCCGTTGCCGGTAAGCGAAGCGACTTGATTTCGCTCGATTTTCGCCGTGTCTTCACGCGAAATGGTCCCGTTTTGGACGTCAAATTCTGTGCATTTCACCGGGGCGTTGGCCCGTGCTTGAACCCACCATCAGGTGGACACTCGCACACAGCAGTTGGAACCGAGACAAAAGTGAGGGCTTGGAGCCGAGGATTTGCTGCGCACGGTGGGGAAGAAGAAGCAACAGCCCAGTGCGGAGCTCAGCGTCGCGTGTTCAACGCGGGTGGCTTGCTTTCAGTGGGAACTACCCGCCAGTTGTTCTCTCTCTTTTCTTTAAAAATCGATAAGGCCCCTTGAGTGTTCCCCCCTGGAAATTCACTGAAGGTCTGGGATATGTGGCTTTGGAGGGTATCCAAATACTGTACTCTACAGAGTTTGTATGTTCTAAGTGTGTTCAGAGCACAGAATGGTTGTAAGGGTGCATTTGACTCTTAGGGCAACATGCTCTGCATGGTTCTAATGGCAAGTTACTAGTCTTGGATCGCACCCTGGAATTGGAAATAGCTCACACCAAAGTGACAAAGTGACCAGCTGCACGAAGGAAAGGGCATTTGTCATAGGATGTTTGACCTTTGCACCCCGGGAGAGCCCCTAAACAGCTTCAGAAAGTGCAGCTCCCGACACTCCTGGCTTTTGTCACACCTATTTAGTTCATGCTAGGGGCAAAGTGAAGTGGCTGGGCGGTTGGCAAAACGGAAACTCTCTCTTCCACTCTCTTTGTCTCTCTCTTTGTCTTTTTATTTTATTTCTCTCTCATTTGTGTCTTTCTTCTCTGTGTTTCTTTCTTTCTTTCGTTCTTGCTTTCTTTCTTGTTTTTTTTTTTTTATTATTATTATTTCTTTGTTTTCTGTGTTTCTTTATTTGTTCCCTCATTTCTTGCTGGGGGACACCATAAAAAAAAGCGGCGCAACATGACACCGCGATGGCGTTTAGGCGTCTCTTTATGAAGGCATGGCATGGGATGGCGCTGCTCACATCTTGCAACACGATTGCCTTAGTGGCACAAGGTCTTGTCCATTGTCGCTGTAGAGTCAGAGATGATACTGCTCCATTCCGAATTCCCAAAAGCAAGCATCTTCCCTGTTGGTCTTTGCATTGTCAAGGACAGCCAGAAAAGGACAGCCCCAACCTTTGGAACCTTCCGAGAACCGTCAATTTGAGGCCAACACTCCCACTTGTGGTTTGTTTGGAAGTTCATGTTTGGGGCAAACTTCCAGACCTTGGTTCCAATCTGGCTATGAAGCTTGATGGGAAATAGCCTGCCAAAGAAATATGTACATGCTGCATACAAAAGGGTCCCAAATTGAAACTCATCCCCATCCAAGTCTCAACTGTTGCTACATTCTGCAACTTCTGCCTCGCTGCTTTTTACTCCTAGAGGTTTGGTGGTGATGGGGTACCTTGGGTTTCAAGAGCCCTGAAATTCCCGGTCTGGCTCCAAAGTCAATCAGCCCACAAGGCATCCCATCGGGTGTCCCTAGCCCGAGACTCAACCCCCCAGCCCTTGCCACCCGACGCCCCGGCTGCAGCTTCCCCGGTGCGGCGGAACAAGCGCCCCGGCGCCGGCAATCGCTGAGTCAGCTCGCTCGGTCCGCTCGCGACGTGCCTTCGACTTCTATGCGCCGTTGTCTGATGTCTTTGTTTGCAGGTTTGGGCCGCAAAAATCACACATCTTGGTGTTCCTTAGGTATTTCTTTGAGCAAGAATCACACAACTTGGTGTTCCTTAGGTGCCCTTTTAAGCCTCCTTTTGACCACGCAAACGGCTTGCACTAAGATGAAGTATGTCCTGCACGACTTGCACAAGTGGCACACTTGGCCATGTTTTGGATGTTGGAAGCTGTCCGTTCTTCTGCTAGCGTTTTGGAACAGGTGTGTTGCCTTGTGCCTGCTTATCCAAAGGGCAAGTGTCAATATTTTCCATCAGTTACTACTGACATTGAGCACACTCACCAGATGTGAAGAATGAAACGGGGCTCATATCGTTTGCAGAACCTCTGGGTTTATGCTGAGCACCAATGCTTATCTCCGGAAGTCGGAGATGTTCAGATGGCATGCGATGCCAGCTCTCACGCCTGGCTACCATGGCGTGGGCGCAGAAAACATGTCTCACCCCTGCTGCAGATGCATGGCCAAGCGAGTCAAAAAATGAACGCTGCTCCTTTTGCGCGTGTTAGTTTCGGATTCATGTGGAGGACCATACGAATCGAAGGACACCCCCAAACGTGCTTCATTTGTTTCCCATTTCGGGGAATCAACCACCAGCCCTGAGTAGCATTGTCCTCCGGATCTATCTATATACCCACTATGGGTATGAGTTGATTGTATACCTAGGGTCCAAGTAAGCCGAGTTCTTTCCAGGCCAGTGAATCAGAAGATAAAAGGCTTGCTCGCTGTCCATGCTATCCGCTAGGCGACAAGACACCTCGCTTGGATTTCTGGAGGTGACCATTTTCTTGGACTCTGTGTACTAGGCTCAAACAACCACACCCTGTCCACTGTTGAAGAGGAACCAACCGGAGGTTGTTTAAAGAAAACGGGTCCTCCTTTCCAGGGCTGTCCTGTTTGTAAGCTGGGCCAAACCCTGCGTCACTTTGCAAAAGACGATAAGCAGCGACAGGTGTGGGGGCCAAGCCTCTATGCTGTTTCTCGCGGGCATATTTTGACAGCGGAACTCACCAGCTCAGCCCAGAGACGCATGGTGTTTCTGAGACGGCATTCTGTAGATGTATCTTAAAATTCGCCCATGCCTGGTTTTCTTTGGCTTCCAACCAATCAAAAGGGGACCCCCCAGAAAAAAGACCCAATTGGGATTACTTCCAAGCTAAAGAACCGCCGATTGCAGATGGTTTTGAACCCCGCTCACTGATTGGACCTCCCCTTAAGCTTCTTCAAGCTGATTTAGGAACCATCAGGTGAAACCCTAAACTATAAGAGATACTAAATACAATAGCTGGGTACTGGGCAAAATCTAATGGGCCCTTGTGAATGGACCCTTAATTTGTCCCACTTGCATACCCCTTACATACCCCTTATACTGGCAATACTGTGAGTCTCGTTTGTGCCCATCGTGTATATATATATATATGTCAATATATATATATATATACATATATATATATATACCTGGACCACCCAAATCGGCAGAAGTTTCTGCCTTTTTGGAAAAAGGCGCCTTTTTGCTGTTGGCGGCGTTTTTAGTTTCCCTGGCAGCGTTTTTTTTCAAAATCAAGTTCTGTGCAAAACAGGCAGCAGGAAATCGGCGGAATTCGGCGGGAAATCGGCGGAATTCGGCGGGAAATCGGCGGAATTTGGCGGAAGCAGGTTTCAGCATGTCGGAGTGTTTGTTGCGTTTCGGTGTTTTTTCTCGCGGGCGGCGTTTTGTGGGCTTTTCGGCGGAAATTTCTGCCGCCGGGGCCTTTCGGCAGAAAGTTCTGCCGCCGGAGGGTCCAGGTATGTGAGGGGAATGTAGGACAAATTAAGGGTCCATACACAGAACTGAAATGTAAACATGTCATGTTAGTTTTAGGCAGGCACTGGGTTACATGATTTCATTTGAATAGGGCATGCGCTTGAGCCATAATGGGCCCTCAGCATCGGGCCATTTTGGCTCAAGAGCTTATTTTCTTTTGCGGTGCGGGTCTTGCTGGGCCTGTTTGCAACATAAACCATGCAGCTTCCCAGTTTGTGGTTAAGAAGACTTTGTTGTGAGGGCCCCGCTGGCCCTGAAGACAGGAACACAGTCATTTCGCCCATCCCAGTGACACCCCTCAAAGCAGCCGACTTTCTCAGTGGGCCCCCGAAGACGGTTGAGGCTATTTTCAACCTGTTCATCGCAGGTGAATATTCCGCCTCCCGACAGGTTCTCAGGCGTAAGGACGGCTTTGCAATCCCGAGGACACGTGGCAATTTGCTCATTGACTATCACACGGAGCAAACGGCGCAATGGATGTTTCAGAGGACACTGGTCATGAACCATCAGGAAGCTCGGGCAACCTAATGGCTGTTCCAGCAAATGGAAAATGGAAGGGATCCGCGCTAAAAGAGAAATCACCATCAGGCGCTAGCAGAGCCAAGGCAGCAGATGAAGAGAAGACGCGCCTAGATGGAGTTGGCTGCGGAAACTGTCGAGCGGAAGCTGTCGACCAACTCACGTGGACACTTGATGCAGGAGGAAGACTGGCAGTGGACTGAGAACTGAAGAGCTGGAGAGCACAAGGACAAGCCGATCATCTATACCAGCAGCATCAAAATTTTGGAAAGCGCAAGAGCGCAAGCTGGGGAACAAGAGAGGGGGAACAACCTCTCAGAGACGCAGGCGATGCACGTGAAGATCCCCGCGGACAGGAAAGAGGAAGCGAGAATCAATCTCGAGAAGTCTAAGAGAGATTTAAGAACTGACGTAGTCCATGAGAAGTGTTCAAGGGTCACTATCCAACAGGAACAAGAAGTAACGAGGACATTCAGAAACACGCACAAACCGCAGACCGTATCCAAATTAGAGGATGCTCTGCAGAACCTGAAGCCAAAGCCAGAACCAAGAAGAATCATGGCGAGGAGACAGCTGCACGAATCAGATCCGAACGCTTGCGAGAAAAGCGGAAGAGGCTATCATGCGCATCAACAGGCGAACAAGAGAAGGATGCTCATACATGAACGCAACGATTCAAGCGGATCGTGAACATGCAAGGATAGAGACGCAAGCAACTAATCTCTGCGACCCTCAACGTCGAACTCAAGGAGAAGGAGGAAGTCCTGGAAAAGTTACGTATGGAGGCGTTGGCGTACCGTGACAATGGACAGTTGGATGAGGAGAACGAGAAGCTGACGCAAAGCGCAGCGGTCGACGCAAAGAGAACGTCGCCGATCAAGGAGCTGAAGGGAACTGACCTGGGATCAAGGAAGGAGAGTCACTGGCGAGGAGCAATGCTCGTGAGAGTCACTTGCGAGGAGCAATGCTTGTGAGAGCCAGTGGCAAGGAGCAATGCTCGTGAGAGTCACTTGCGAGCAGTTAAATTCTCTTCTTAGGGTGGCGGGGTAGGGGCGCCAGCACGTTACGAAAATCGACCCTCTGCGGCGGGGATAGGCGTGGTCGATATGCAAAACTGTTGTTTTTGCGATTTTGGATTTTGGATCGCGCGACCCTTTGCGAGGACCGTGGTCGATGTGCAAACGGTGAGTGCTTTTTTGCTGTTTTGACATTCTCGGATGAACCCTCTGCGGCGTCCCGGTTGCTGTTCTGGGCCAATTCGCACAGCAGCTGAATCTCTAACTTGCGGCCAGCACTTGCTGCCGCGGTTTTTGAAGCCCCGCTTGTTCTCGCGCAAACCACATGTCTGCTAGTGAAGGTTCCACGATGTCGAGAGTCGCGCAGGGACCTGCGCATGATTTCTGTGGCAGAAGTTCTTCCTTGCGATTGCGCAGAAACACGCAAATGCGGGCAGGGTCAAGCAAGCACGTGCAGCAATCCAAACTGCAGTGGGAATTGATTTGGGGAATAAATCTGCACGGGGCAAGATCTACTGAGGGGCGAAGTTGCTAGGGTAGTGGTAGGGTTCGGGCGAATCAAACACTTAGGCCCTTCGCATTAGCCAATGCACTTGGGCGATATCGGCTCAGTTTTCTGCCAGCTTCGCAGGGTTGAAACTTGGCGATTGAGAGACGAGAATCTTCTGACATGGAGTGAGTTCTGCGGAGGGGGAAGCCCGTACCCACTCGAAAATGGAATATGGGGGTGGGGGGTGGGTTTTTCTTCCGGCTTGGTGGGGTCCGGCATGGAGTCCCGCTAAGGGGTCCCCAAGTGAGAATTGGAACGAAGACCTCCTCAAGATCTCTTTCCAATTTCGCAAGGCACCACCAAAAGTATGCCGTTTTTTTCTGCGACGCATTGCGATGCGACCGTTTTCCGCCGTTCCTTTTGATTGCTCCTGTAGACCGGCAGACTTGGTCACAAATAGTGTCAAGATCATATAGTCATAGAGCCAGTCACGGTAGATTCGCACACACACGCAATCACACGAGTCGGACGAGTTTGGTGGTGGAGTTTGATGGAGTGGCCAACCTGCGTTCTAGGTTGCATCAACTTGGCATTCCTACGACGAGGGCATCCGCAACTAACACGACACGCGTCGCGGAGGGGAATGACTGCGACAGCAAAATTATTGTCAATTCTGATTTAACTGGTGACGCTGCGCGCGGCCTAAAGTGCAACCCACACGCCCGAGGCACACACTTAAAAACACATGACAGTAAGATACAGGTGTCCAGACATGTGGCAGGCCCGAGGGAGGGAGGGAGGTCAGGGCTTGCGAAGAATACGGTGTACTATGCGCAAGCAACTTTTAGAAAAGAGGAGTTGTTGAAAAAACAAACCGGTTGGTAAGCAAGGCCTGAATATCAACATATTTTGCTCAAACAATGACTTTTGGAAGATCAAAGAAGCATGCAAAGCAGTACGTGAACAGCATTCGCCAGCAGCAGCTGGAAAAAAAACAGTTTGCACACGCTCTACCCTCTGCGAAGAACTCTGATTCCTTTCTGCCCTCACCTGATTCCTTAAGTGCATTGGGCTGATAGCTGGGGACCAGGCAGGTGACCAGGGTGCATCAGACTGCAAGCTGTGCACACTGGTGACCAACGCATAGAGC